AACTTACTCGATCAACAAACTTGCAAGTTTGCGCGGCCACCAACACTGGAATATTGGAAGCGGATGCGACTAAAGCTACCTGACTGGTACCTCGCTCGGCTACTGCACAACCATGAGATAAAATTGCCGAGCAACCCAGCAGAACCAACTGACACTAAAAATGCCGGAAATCAAACATCAGACGATGAATATCATGGCAAAAGGCCCAAAAAAAAAAACAGACAAATTACTTGGCTCGGCTCGTGTGGGATAGTCAGTACTTGACCATCCCAGGCTCTCTCTTGCAACGAGTCTTTGTGGATCTAACCACACTGTCCTCTCTTTCCACCCATCATCCGCATACCCTCCTCCTCCCTCCCTCTCCCAAACACTACATGTTGCAGAAATTTTAGAGATACAAACAATGAATATCTTTGGCTGGGAGACTGGAAGAGGACGGAGGCATGAAATTGCTTATGCGTTAACATATACAGTTTGTTTGGCGTTATTGGCCCACCGCGGAGAGGAACACAGTCGAATTTTGATAATTAATGAAAACACTGGAAGTAGCGCCATCTAGATGCCCCAAATAAGCAAGCCTGTATGTACAGCCTCTATGTTACTCAGCGCTTGGGAAATCTTAACCTGCGCTCGGGCGACTTTATCCGAAACGCTTGACAAAACGACATGGATGACAACTGTGATATTTCATTAGCATTATCTCATTATGAAAGAAGCCGAGCCGAGCCGAGTTACAGTAAATATCCGCAAAATATCTTAATAGTGTTCCCGTGACAACCAGTCTCTCTACGATTCGTTCATATAAGCTGCTGCCGGCATACACCAGCCAGGGTATTAAAACTCCTCAAACGAAAAAGCTATCACGATCCCTAGCACCGCATCCTTGTTGTTGGCGACTGCTACCATTTTGGCCTCCTTATCGGCTAGGTCACTACCGTTCACAAATACAATGAAGGAAAACTAACCTCTCGGATTACATAGCCAATCGATGCTAACATACCGTAGCTGCATTTTATACCCCGACTGCATAATGTTTCTAATAGCTGCTTGCCTGAAAACAGACATCTGCAAATATAACCCCGCAAAAATCAAAACCTCTTTCATAACATCTGAATTAATAAAAAAAAAAACAGGTCTCCCTCCCCTTTCTTCTCCCGCTAGCAATCTGTGCTTCCATTCCGGCTACCTTCGGATACCTTCCCTCAAACAAGCAGTAAAATATTAGGGAGGAATATCAAATTTCTTCACGGTTTTTAACATCATACTATGCGAAACAACAACTCGGAATGTCAGAAAAATAGGCGGATTCAAGTCCAAAACATAAACCGATGAGATTTTCGCCTCCCCTTTGTTCCTGCAACACAGGTATCAGTGCTACAAGAATCCAGGTTTAAAGCTAAAACAAAAGAAAACTCTCTTCCGTAACGCTGTCGGCCCAATTCCTTCCCCTCCCCGGTTGTCGGTAGATCACAAGCTCTATCCCTCCCCCTCTCTCCCTCCAGAAAGCTGCCTATGTTTGGAAACGAGTAGTATTTACTTAAAAATCTATGTAGAATTATGATACAAAACATTGGACGAAAAAAGTCCACGGCTTTTACGTGGATAAGGAAAAGTTGCATGAGGTAAGACGCATGGAGCATATCAAGTGATTAAATTTCTCAAACCTTTTCCCTCTATAGGTGAATCCAAAACATGCACATGAAATGATAATCCACGGTTATGCGCATCCAATATAATCCTTTCCACAACTGGACACCTTAAAAAAAACTCATGATATATAAGCCATGTATTTCATTCTACTACAAGAAATTTCTAAATGAAACAAAACTGAATGCCCCCAGTACTACAAGTACAGTTCTGTCTTTCACTGGCCATGCATGCCAGGGATATCCCTAACTTATAAATTTGATGGTTGGTAATGGTAAGAAATGTATACGATTTAATGGACCGAAACATTTTTTAACATTGTAACAATCTTACTAATTTTCCAATTCTTCTTTTTGATTCTTCTTATTTCATCCCCTGTTAATATACCTTTCTATTGAAACCTCATAAAAATTACATAATAATTCTTATGCGGATCTGACTCTGCCTGCGTGAAAAGCAATCTTTCTACAAAAATTATTCATTCCTTTTTAACCATAAACTGATATCGGCCCATACCAGTCGGTTGAATTAGCCGTCAGCTTGCTTCTAAGCAACCCTCAAAAGAGGAAACCAGCGACAGCCATGCGAACCGGCAGCGGTGCTATTTATACTTGCTATTTATTCAACCTATCCTCATGTGCTTTATCCCTCATAGAAAGTGAAAACAAAGGAAAAGTTTTGATTTTTGACTTACCAAGAGTATGTGAGCAAAGATGTTATATTTTGTAATTTTTCAAAACAAAACGACGATATTGCTTGTAGAGCAAGTTCTAAATTCTGTGTGGCAAAATCATCCAACCATTGCTGAACGTGCGCTTTACCCTTAAAAAGGCCTCATCTTACAATGATACGCTACGAAAAAGATAAAAATAAATGGCCAACGCACGGGCTGCCCGTGCGAAGATGCGTTTTTTGCAGAGTTCCCCGCA